GGGGAGGTCAGGTTAGTGCAGCAGGTGAGGTGGGGGAGGTCAGGTTAGTGTACCACGTGAGATGGAGGGAGGTCAGGGGTTAATGTCCCCAGGGGCAGGTCAGAGACAGTTAGGCAGGCCAGGTAGGGCAGATTCTCATAAGCTAAGGTGGAGTTTGCATTTTATTCTCAGCCTAATGGTAAACTTTCAGAGGATTTTAATTTAAGGAGTTATATATAATTTGCAACTTTAAAAGAGTGAAGAAAGTGAAGAAGGAAAACAATTAAGTGAGTGATGATGGTGGTTTGAACCTGGACGATAGCTGTAAAAATGGCGAGTAGTGGATATATTTGGGTTATATTTTGGAAGTGGTGCTTACAAGACCTGACAATGATTTGGGTATGAAGGTGAGGGAAAGAGAGGGTGTATTTATTTTCACACATGAAATGTTAGCCATTACTTTTCATCAAAAGTATGATCCACGAAAATAAAACCCCCTCCATCAAATTTAAAACTTTCACTCTGTGAAAGACTCTGTTAAGAGAACAAAAAGAAAAGCTACAGATTGGGAGAAAACATTTGAAAGCCACTGATCGAACCAAGGAATAATACCTAAAATACCTACAGAACTCTCAAAACTGAACGGCAAAATCCAATCAAATTGTCCATGGGCGAAAGACAGGAAGAGTCATTTCACCAAAAAAGATAGATAAACAGCAAATAAACACGTGAAATGGTGTTCGGCATCATTCATCAGGGAAACGCAAACCAGAGCCCCATGAGATGGTTTAGTAACATCGGAAGGTTTTCTCATCTCAAAGTAGGAAATGTGTCTGAAGGGTTCTATACCTTATCTTCAGAAGGGTAAAATAAAAACTAGTGATGCTGTCAAGTGCTGGCAAGCACGTGCAAACTGGCTCTCTCACCCACTGCTGGTGGGAATATAAACAGGTGCAGATGCTCTGGCAAACAGTTTCACAGTTTCTTTAAAGACTAAACATACAACTATCATCCAATGTGGTAAATAAATGCACTCCAGGTGTTATCCCAAAGAAATGAAGACTTACATTCCCACAAAAACCTGTAAGTGGGTGTTTATAGTAGCTTTATGCATAATAGCAAAAATGGGAAACAGACTGTGCGCTCTTCATCAGGTGAGTGGTTAGACGTGGAACATACGCTCATATATCGTGGACCACTGCTGAACAATTAGAAGGGGATGAACTGTGATTCATGCAACACTCTGGATGACTCTCCAGATAGTCACGTTGAGTGTGAAAAGTTAACCCCAAGAGGTTACATACTGCGTAAGTCTATGTATGTAATATTATGGAACTGACAGTAGAAATGGAGACCTGATTGGTGGTTTCCAGGGGCTAAGGAGGGGGCAGGAGAGGTTAAGGAGGAGGAGAGGTGTGTGGTTATGAAAGGGCAACATGAGGGACCCTGTGGGGATGGAATACTCTGTCAATGTGGATATCCTGGCATGACACTGTTTTATTGTTTTGTAAATGTTACTATGTTACTGTTGGGAGAAATGGGTAAAGGACACATGGTTCTCTCTATGTTATTTCTTACAATGGCATAAGAATCTACAGGCATCTCAAAATAAAAAGTTTAATTAAAAATTAACTAAGAAAGCACACACACACACACACACACACACGAGTATATATAAAGAGGGGGCGGAGACAGCTTTCACTTAAAACATGTAATAGGACTTGTGGAAGTTTTGGCTAGGACCCCAAAGAGTATTGGGTCATCAGGAAAGTCATGATGCATTTTTGCATTGAAAAACATAGAAAAATACATCATGACTTTCCCAACGACCCAATAAATAGCAAGCAAGGATCACAACCACACTGTAGGACTTGTACAAGAAGTAAGACAACTTCACCCACTTTGAAGGTCTCAAATGATGGAGAGCTAGAGATTAGAGATGAAAATTTCAGAGATCAGTATTGTTATGCTGTGGTGTCAGCCCTTCCCTCCAGGAAGCGTGGCAGAGGGCAGCCCTCTTCACCCTAAAGCAGACAGGGGACTTGACAGAGACCACTGGGAGAAGTTCAGGTCCATCGGACCTGATAATGTGGCTGTGTACAGCAGACACTCTTGCAGGATTTCTGGTTTTCCTGAATTCCAGCAGTAAAACACTGCTTCCAGAGTCCGCTGGGGAGAACAGTGTGGCTTCCCCATGTACCAAACGTAGGCCACTCATTGAGAAAGCCAGCATGGGGTCCTCTTAGGCTATGCCCTCAAGGCTGGCCCCGCGGGATGAATGGAGGTCTGCAAAATAAAGCCAAGTGAGTAAGTACCAACAACCAGTTAGCTCTTGTCACGGGAACCCACAGGGAGGCTGAGTGAGTCATGGAAAAGCCCCTGAAAATGCTCATGAGACACAGGGTCACCTCCAAGTCCAGAAAGTCCCCACACGAGACAATGAGACAGTGCCCGTTCAGTGAGGCTTTTCCGTGAGCTGCCCCCATTCAATCCCCTCTGTCTCCACGCTCCAGCCATGGGGGCCTGCAGGCCGGACCCAGGTGGAGCTGGGGCGTCCCGTGGGGAAGGGAGAAGCAGCAGGCTGTACGCGCCCTCTCGTCTCCACCTCCCAAACTGCCAGCCTCACGCCTGTAACCAGCTTGCAGACGGGGAGGACAGAGAAGAGCTGTAACCAAAGCCAGAATTCAATGCTGACCTCGTATTTTGTTTGTTGAGCTTAAACAACCAAATAACTGTTTCTAACACTTAAGAGTGACCAGAAAAAGCATGAAGACTGCCTCAGTTTCTATCAGGGACAAGCAAGGCCTTACAGAAAGGGCCGTGAAAGACAAGACTTAATCTGCTTTATGAATGCACACTGCACATCCTGCTTGTTCAATATACCACATACAAAGGCAATGTCCTCTACATCTCAACAAAACTTTTCCACGTTATCCTATTAGTGTGCAGACAGAGGTGCGTGTGTGCATATCCATACCGCGCAGAACTGCGTGCTCTCACCCCCACCCCCAGCATGACTGTTTAACGCCCGTTCTCAGTGACCACGGCTCTAGACCTGCACTGCTGTGGGGTGTTACTCCTTCACAATGGCCTTTCCAGTGGTCCTGAATTGGTTCACGTACTGAGCAGAATTCAGGACCACAATGTGAACTGAGCGTTTTGGCTTGAGATAAGTTTTGCTACATGGGAAGTTCAGTCTTCAGAGACACAGAAGCATCACAGTTGGAAGGAAATGTTAGAATCCAGCTCCTACCCAGCAAGAGACAATGTCCATTTCTGTCCTTCAGTCAAGCTTTTCAAGCTCCTGCAGCCACTGGCCAAAGCAGGTTTTCTCTGCTTTCACCAGGATCGACAGCTCTGATTTACGGTCCATTTTGCCCATAAACGGACAGGAGGAAAGACAGGAGACAGCATTCCGATCAGAGGGCATTCTGACGGGCCCATGACTCCTAAGTCTGCACACTCCTAAGGCAGGCATCTGACACGCACGCCCAGAGGACAGGCTGGGCGAGCAGGGAGAAGAGGCCGCTGTTTCGCTGGATCTACTCACGATCTGAAGGATTTCAGCATCTGAGCCACATTTGGTTTCAATATCTTTTTTGAGCATATATACAAGAATTGCCTTTCCATATTCATTTGAGGATTATTTTTTTGGAATTTAGACATTTAATTCTAAAAGTTGTAAAAATTACAGTATATTTGCATTGCTATAATATTCATACATTTTAAACAATGTATAGAAAGAACTAAATCCATTTTTTATGGTGGTTTGGTATAAAGTAACAGAAAATATTTTTACCGATTTTTCTGATCGAGATCTCTAGAATAAGGGCTTTCTTCATAATAATATTTTTTAATGGCAAAAAGTTCCCTAGTACTTTGTAAATTCTTCTATCACCTATATAATTTATAAGATGTAATAAGTATTTTAAATCCCAAGTAGATCATTAAAAAATAAACAGCGCTTAATGATGGTGTTATACCATCAATTTCTCTTTAAATATAGGTTTTTATCTTTGATTCATCACAGAAGGCACTTTTTTTTTTCTAGTTGTTTTTACTATTTCATATTCTGGAGAGAGAAAATATTCAACTTCAAAGTAAAAATTAAGTTGTAAAAACAAACAAACCAATTAAAAAAACAGTATTAAAGCACCAAGGCTCTTAGTTCAAATGAACTATATCCCAAAGTGTCAGAACCTTTTAAACACCACAGAGTGAGCTCCTAAAAGTATTTGCTTCATGAACAATTACACTTCTTTTGTGAGAACGATAATTTTCTTAGAGTTCTACAAGCTTTATACATACAGTAGTATCTCACTTACCTTGACAAGTCTAACTCAACATTTTCTGTAATACAGCAATACAGTGACCTGTTAAAGAAAACAGATTGTAAAAGATATAAATTAGCAATACATCATTTTCATTTCAAAGGAATATTTCATTTTACTAAATCTTTCATCATACAGATCATTAAAATAGTTGCATTATTAGTGTTTTAAAATGGGAATATATTTACAGAGAATGTTATAGGAATTGTATAGTAAAAATAAAAACTTTTATAAACAGTACATAATACTATACGTGCATTTCCCCCTAATTTTATATCTATAAGTGTTTTTAAAGGCCCTTTTCTCTCTTCTTGGTAGTTTAAATACTTTAGTGCCATGACTATGAAAAAATACTATTGCAATCTACATAGAGTGAATTAAAGAGAAAATCAGGGATTAGTCCACTGTTGGAAGACTACTTCCCTTCATCTGGACTTGGTTGTATTGACGTCTGAAACAGTGTTTGGGTCTCAGAGATAAAGTATAACTGCCATCTGTGATTACACGGCACTGTCGGAAACCATCAGTCTTTCCTTCTTGTCTTCTTCCCTTCTCTATAAACCAATTAGGAAACAGAACTCTGTCCCACATTGTACCTTTGGGTTGCCCTTTACCTGCCTACCTTAGTCTTTTGGGCTATTAACAGATACAATTTGTAACGGCCTTTCTTTTCTCTCCTTGCGTTACTTTAACTTATTCTGTACAACTCTGTGTCCTTATATTTCTGTTTTCTCTAGCTGTCATGGGAAATTACCTTGATGCAGTGGTGGCCTCCGAGTCAACTACAGGCCAAGCTATCCCAGAAGTAATGGGACAGACAGGCTCACAGACCAAAGGGAGGTGCTCAAATCATACAGCTTAACTCCCTTTAAAGCAGGGGGGAAGAGATGGGGTACGTCGCCACCCCTAGGACAAGGTGCAAGCGGGAAGGGCCACACTGCAAGCATCCCGCTCCACAGTGTTCATATGTCCCTGTCCCCTCCCTCTCTCTCCCCTCGCCTGCATCAGCCTTCCCCACTGATGGTCAGGGGCACAGACTGGCGTTTGAGCACGGAGGTCAGTACACAAAAGGTACCTGGGGCCAGTGATACACACTTGCTCCACGGAAGAGAGGCAGGAGCAAGATGCCTCCCCATGGCTGTGGCTTTCCAAATAGCCTGCCCACAGCTCAGAGGTCCCATCAGAGTGTTAGGTAGAGCACATTTGTGTCCAGACTAGGACCATGGGTATCCAGTGTGAGGGTGACGGGGTTGTCAGCCCAGGGGTGGCGTGATCGCGAATTGGTCTTTCCCTGCATTTCCATCTATAAACAACACTCTTGTTTGTTCCATCACGTTTCATGTAGTCTCTCTAGCTTTACACCTTTCAGGTTACTAGGTGATTTGGTCTCCACACGTAGCGCTTCTTATGAACACTGCCATGTCTCATGAGCTCCCTGCTTACTCATTCCCTGTGCTGAACACGTCCTATGGGACTCACCCGTCCCATTCCGTGCTTTCTAGCAGAACTTTTTCTCAAGTAATACAGCAAACTAACATTACACTAACCAACATTTAAATTTTTTTCTTCATTTGTTCAGTTAAATGTACTGACATTACTTATTCTTTTTATTTTTTTCACCTTGCCTTTTCTCACTTTCCTCCCAATTTTGGTCATTTTGAAAAGACACACGTTTTGTGCAAAATTCTCCTCCACAAATCAAACTTACTCAATTCTCCATATGTATCTATTTGATATTAACATATAGTCTGTGAAATCTCTCTCCTTACTTTATATTCCAGGAAATCAATGTTTTATAAGTATCTATGTAATCACAATACCCTTAAAAAATCTACTGACAAATGATGAGCAAAACACACCCATCCGCGTTTCTCTATAGTCCATGTATTTGACACAAGGCTGATTAAATAAGAGCTGCAGCCGCACCTGGCCGTAGCAGCTGTCCCGTTGGGCTCAATAAAACGCACAGGCTGGACATCTTCCACGCCTAGTGCCCATACAAGCATCTCCAAGGATGGTGTGAGACGCTAACTGCTGTCTCCTGGCCCTCCCAACGCAGCTACTCACACCAATCTTTCCAACAAAGCTCATAAAAGTTAGAGTTAGCTTCCACGAACAGGTTCTTCAATGAACATCGACTTAGTGTCTGTTCGTTACAAGGCACTGGGGCAAAGCGGAGGTTAGCAGCAGGTTCTGACATTCACTTTATCTTAAATGCTTGCTTGAAAAGTTCAGCTTGCCAAGTGTTGCTTGTTTTCAAGTCATTTTGAAGCCCATTTCTTTATTTTAGAATTTTCTCTTACCCAGTTATATTCATTTAAAAAGTGCATGAAAAAAGTCACATTTGGGGGAAAAAGATAAAAACTTTAATGTGCCCGGAAGACTGGGTACATCAAGACTAGAATGAGGCTGAGTGGGCGGCAGAGGGTTGTGCATGATGTAAGTGGTTTCGATGTTTACCCCCTGGAACCCAGGCCTGTGCTGTCCAGTGTGGCAGCCATTAGCCAGGTATGGTTAATTCAATTCAATTAATTAAATCAAACACAAAAGAATTCGGTTCCTGGGTATAGCAGCCACATTTCAAATGCTCAGTGGCTACATATGGCTAGTGGCTACTATATTGGTTAGGGCAGGTAGCATATTTCTATCATTACAGAAAGTTCTACTGGACATTGAGTGCTACCTTACACATTGAGGAAACATAAAAAAGTTTTGAGCAGAGTTATAAATAATGAAATTATAATTTTCCACAAATCTTGAGGAAGAATTTGATAGACTGGAAAGCAGCAGGCCAATTAAGATATGAATCAGGATACACATCATCCATAAGTTGTGGTTAGAGAAATGGACTGGTGTCTGTGTGTGTGAGTGTGAGTGTTGTATGTTTATGTGAGTGTATGTGTGTGTGTGTATGAGTGTGTGTTTGTGAGTTTGTGAGTGTGTGTGTCTGTGTATGTTTGTGTGAGTGTGTGTGTATAAGTATGTGTGTGTATGTTTGTGTGTGTGAGTGTGTGTGTGTGTGTGTGTGTGTGAGTTAGGGGTGGAGGCAGGGGCGGGGCTGTAGTCACAAAGAAGGTATGGAGGCTGAGGAGGAGGTGTGTCCTCCTTATTCAGGAAAATGGATGGATACTGATCCCACTCTCTGAAACTGGAAATGCTGGTGGAGTGGAATTTTTTTTTTGAGAGGAAGGGGGTGAAAGATGAACTTAGGTTTTATCCATCTTAAGTTTGAGATTGTGAGGGACATTCTAGAAGATGTATAATAGGTAACTGTATATACACCCTTGGAGGAGTCATTCTCAAGGAGCTTAATGGGAGATGCATAAATTGTTATGTGGATCTCTCATTACTTCCTTAAACTAAGTGCCTAGAAGAGAAATTGCTTCTCCAAAGAGTATGAATTATATGTGGAGACTTTCTTCTTCCTGTCTCCCCACAAGGCACATTCCCTGGTGGCCGTATGTTGTCATGGTGAACAGATGTCACTGATAAGCACATACTCTACAGGTGTGCTGGTGTGGTCTGGTGGTCTCATATTCACTGGCTGGGAAATAGGTTTCAGAGCCATAGTCTTGTCTCTGTGAAAACTGGGACAAACCGGCTGGACTCCAGTGGCTTCGTACATACTCTAAGGTAGTACCCATTTGCATCTTTATCAGGTTCCAGGCAGGAAAACAGAAATCATTTGAAGAATTCTAAATAGATAGCAGGTAGCATTTACTATGGAGAAATGTTCACACACGTGTAAAAGCTAGAAGAGCAAAAAGGGGGCCTTCAGATAAAGAGGAATTCCTAACTTCAGGAAGTGGCTGCCAGTGGGAGAGCTAGCAGTACAGAGGGCGGGGGTGGAGTTATCAGAGCTCCGGAGCGCGCTCAGGCGAGGGCGGGAAACCGGAGCGCTGCTGCAGCTGGCTCTGGGGTCTGGTAAAGGCCACGGCCATTCCCCAGGATGCCAGAAGCAGAGAGAAAAAGGAAAGAACAATTGTGTTCCCATGTCCCGCCTTCTGATCTCCTGCTTGTGCCTCCTCTTGGCAGGAAGTTACTGGAAGCCATCTGACAAGAAAGGCTGGGAAATGTAGTTTGCAGACTCCCAGCCCAACCATCATCATAGAGCTCAGTTTAGGTGAACATGGGGCCCAAAGATCACAGGCAAATAACCTGCACTGCACTTTGTCAGGCACAAAAGCTTTTCGTCCTGTAGGAAGTTAACTCTGTAAAGAAAACCTGACTTATTTGGTCTTTCATCTTTTATGAACCTGAGAAACTGCAGGGTCTACCACAGTGACTGCCACATAAAATGCTCAATAAATATCACTAAATATTTGAGAGAACAAATGCTTATTCCCATCACTGATGGATAGTTCAAATCAGTACTCAACTTACAGGACCCCCAGGTAAATGTAAACTGACTTTTTAAAGAAACCCGCTTTAACTCATGCACAGATTAGTACTGGCTTTTACAGTCGAGGCCCCTTGAAGTTAACATGTTTTCGAATAGCAGTGCCATTATTCACAGGCTTTTAGAGCTCCTCTTTGGAAATCGTCTTTCAGGGCTACTTGTTGAGAAATGCATGATAATGAGTAGAATCTAGTCCTGCCCATTGTGGCCCAGCTGGACTCACCAGGTTTTGACAGGGAAGCTTTAATAATATTTTCTAAAATGAAATCCACTCTGGAGGAATTAAAAGACTTGCTACTAATGTTGGTAAGTACTTTGCCACAATTTCCAATTAAACTTGAGGCAACACAATGTCTTGGTCTATTTCGGACACTTTGAATTTGGACTAAGATGACAAATGTGGCGCACTGTAATGGTAATAATGTAAGACTTTGTCTGGTCTTTGCTGCCTGCCTTCCTGGGAAGAGAGGAGAACCCTCCCCTGCCCCC